ACCACCACCACCACCAGCTTCATTTCGGAAGTTATCGGGTGAAGTGTGAATGTTATTTCTTATTTGAAGCTGTAACATTTTCCAGCAGAGAAATTTATTACGCAACCTCACCCTATCATTTCTCGCCACACACCCAGCCACACGACAGCAGACCCACACGAGGAGGTGGTTGTGTTAGGAGGAAGCACCTCCCACAGGCTGTCCGGCAATGTTTAAGATCAAAAATTAAAAACTGCACAACCAGGAAATTTGATAATTGGTGCTTTAAAATCAAATTAGGAAGATGAACTCAAGAAAATAAATTTTTTCTTAGTAATTTTGAGAAGAAAACTCTCTGAAACGTAAGAAACGATGTTCGTCAGCATGGTGGAAGCGTCCGCGCCACCACCAGGTGTGCAAACAAAAGATCAACTATAAAACTTTCGCATGTTGACAAACTCAGCGCAAACACACAGACACTAATTAACGGTTCACGTTCGCACGCTCACTCACACATGCGCACACACACACACACACACACGCGCGCACACAGAAACATAAACAATCATCGGATATTGTCACATACGCCTCAGGCAAAATTTCATAGAAACCTATTTATTTTCATGAGTTTGTGTGTGTTCGTGTGCGCGTGTGCGTGTTTGTATGTGTCTTTGCGTTTGTGTTACTTGGGGCGACCTGTACGGCTCACGTGTGCGTGTCGAATTGTTTGTGTGTCTGCGGACATTAAATTGTTGAGTGTGTTTGTTGCGGTTGGCTACCTTTCAATTTGTTTAAAAGTAAATATGTTCAATTGAATTTATTAATAAAAGTTTACACGCAGAGATAGTGTTTGTGCACGAGATATATTCATGCAGGAGTGTACGTGCATGCATTTCTTGCGTTTTTGTTTAACGGTGCATGCATGAATATAAATTCGCCATGCGGACGCGTAGGTACTTTGACTTGCATGCGTCTGTATGCATATACTTTTGCGGGTGTGTGTTTGTGTGTTTTTGTTCAAAATGGTTTTATGTAAGTGCGTGTTAGTATGTGTGTGTGTCTGCGTGTGTGCGTGCGTGCGTGTGTGCGTGCGTGCGTGTGTGCGTGAAAGGTTTGTGCACGGTTATTGAGCGTGTGTATGCGAACGTTCGTCTTGCGTCAACAATTAATCGATTTTCGATTTAGAAGTACTCGCATCGTTCGTATAAATACGATTGGAGGGATGTGTGGCGGAGTGGGCGCCGTGAAATTTTGGTTTAATGTGTGTGTGTGTGTGTGTGTGTGTACGTGTGTGTGTGTGAGTTTGCCTGTTTGTGTGCGTGGTTCGTGTTAATATTTTTGTTCGTTTATACATTACAACATTGACTGGATTAAACTTTTGTTATATTACGTTTTTTCACGAATGCGGAATATGTTGAAGGCAGTTGAGCAGCATGTATTTTAAACAAATGTTTGTATATCGAATGTTTAATCTGCCAAAAACGTCCACATCAACACCAACATTCATCTCAACATCAACATTCAAAATCACCTGAAATAAAAATATTCCATGCATAAATCAAGCTGCGATTTCCTACTATGAAATGCTATCAGCGCATTTGTTAATTGAAAAGTTGGACACGTTTTGTTGTTGTGTTGATGTGTTGCTGTAATGTTGTGTTGTTGTGCTTTTGTGACGTCGCGCTGATGTCTCGTTGTAATGTATGGATGTTGTGTTGTTGTGCGGTTGTGAAATGGAAGCGTGTTAAGTAGGAATTACATTCAACATATCAAATTTCCCATTATCAAAAATTTGAAACAGCTCCATGACCATTGGAAGCCTTATAATGCGAGTTGCTCTTTATCGCCAGTGTTTGATATGCGCTGATAAATGCTGCTTTGTGTGTTTGTTGTTTGTTGATGTTTTTTGTTGATGTGTTTTGTTGATGTGTTTGTTGATGTGTTTGTTGGTGTGTTTGTTGTTTGTTGATGTGTTTTGTTGATGTGTTTGTTGATGTGTTTGTTGGTGTGTTTGTTTGGTAGATTTGTTAATATTCCATTTATTAGTATTTTCTCGTTATCGTATTGATAGTTATTTAGACTTTTTTCTAGTTAATAGCTTTTTTAATGTTGTTGCAACGATATAAATGTAGAGTTAGTGTTGATGTGTTTGCGTTGTTGTGGCGA